TTTTTTTCCCATTGGAAATTGATTAGTTTGTGAAAAGTGGGCATCACATACAAGAATGGTGCCAGGTGGTTAGATGGGTTAAATGTAAGAGCAATTTGTGCAGGAGGTTTGACGGATTAAACAGCCTCTACTGGTAGATGTTGTAACTACACACTCTGCAGAATGTGCAGAAATGGTGCCGTTAGGAGTACAACTGTAAAAAGGGCCCTGTCGTTGTGCTCTTGTTTTTCACATGGACTTTTAGTTTGTAGTGTAGTCCTGTTCCTGTTCCTGATTCACTTGCATTAATATAGACAGATATTTTCTTTCAGTTGCATTCTCAAAATTTCATAGCAGCAGCAGTGTTTATTCTTGCCTTGTAGCTGCATTTAAATGCATGATATTTTTCATAGCAATCTCTTAATTTTCAGCAGAGAAGTGAATGGTGATGACTGTCTTCTGAAAATTGATGCTCTCCAGGTTTTGTGCGATTGGCTGTGTGCTGCAGATGTCACACTTTCAGGTGCACACGCTCCAGAGTTAATCATAAACTCTGGATCAAACCCTGAGCTGACAGAATGTTTATAGTGAGCATTTTGAACCCGCTTTACTTGATCTTAATCAAGTCGGATTTGTTTGGTTTTGTCAACTCTTAAGGCCGGGACACACCAAGCCGGCTTTCAAAGAACTAGCTGCGACGAAAGCCGACGGTGTTGTCGCCTCACTTCGACAGTGTCTGGACTAAAAAGCTGCACTTGAACACACCGCACAGACTATAGCCAACTGCAAACTAGCATTGCTAACGGCCCGACACCTGACTTGGAGGGTCCCAGCATTATGCCTCCTCTGAAATTTAAAGTTTGTGTAACAAACCATAGGTCTTGTCCTTCTATGTATGTGGTATCGGTGTGCTAAGTTTTGTTTCCTGTGTTTCTCTAGTTCTTGTGTTCTTTTGTTATTATTGTTATTAAACAGAACATTTGAACCAAGTCCACTGTTCCCAGCACTCCTCAGCCTGGTGGACCCAAATCTTGATGTCCCAAGTCTAGGTTTTTACCCTGTTGTCAGTGCAACCATGACTCGGCAACTGATTGGAGATAAAAGACAGCCTTTGACTTTGACAGTGGCAAAGGGTTAGAGAGGAACATGAAGCTCCTGGGTCATTTTCAAATACCCTAATTCTCAGATTGACCCACTTGGACCAGCATGAGACACATATGTGACCCTGGACCACAAAAGCAGTCTTAAGTCGCTGGGGTATATTTGTAGCAATAGCCAAAAAAACATTGTATGTGTCAAAATTATCGATTTTTCTTTTATGCCTAAAATCATTAGAATAGTAAGTAAAGATCATGTTCCATGAAGATATTTAGTAAATTTCCTACTGTAAATATATCAAAACTTAATTTTTGATTAGTAATATGCATTGCTAAGAACTTCAAGAACGATTTGCTCAGTATTTTGATTTGTTTTGCACCCTCAGATTCCAGATTTTCAAATAGTTGTATCTCGGCCAAATATCATCCTATCCGAACAAACCATACATCAATGGAAAGCTTATTTATTCACCTTTCAGATGATGCATAAATCTCAATTTCGAGAAATTGACCTTTATGACTGGTTTTGTGGTCCATGGTCACATATCTAGGTGTACTTCAGAGAGCACCTCTGAGTAGTACAATGGCGAGTCACTGCAAAGATTTGTTCATTCCTGTGATGAGTAACTCCAGCAATGTTATCCCTAATGTCATGCTGCCATGTGTGACAGGGGCCCCCTTGAGAAGGTGTAGCAGAAGTAAAGTTCCATCTGTGAGTGATTTAATGGCTACAGTTCCAAAGATGACGTGTAATAAAATGGGAGGTATGGGTGACTAGACTCAATTAGGAACAGACCCTTTCCCTCCGAGTCCACCACATGCCCTAATCCAGTGAATCTCAACCTTTTGGCGTACCGGAACCCAGAACAAAACTGACTCATCTATGTATCATTTGTGTCTTTGTGAGGACCAAATGCAGTCAAGTATAATTCAAGATAGTTGACCATCATGGCCATATCATCAGCTATATTGGATTTTTCTTTCATGGGAACATATCATGTCAAAATATACAAAATTTATACAAAAATTCATACTTTATACGGACCCCCTGGCCTTACGTCAAGGACCACTAGGGGTCCACGGACCCCTGGTTGAGAAACACTGCCCTAATCTATATAAGCATCTGCTTGAAGTTCCCCAATGAATACCATCAGTCCTGCTGGTGTGACCTCATGTGGACAGATCCCGCCACCTCATGCTATTGCTATAGCTCAACATGAAGAACTATGTGATGGGTACAGTACAACCCCCTCACTTTTCTGTACTTTCCCACAACTGAATTTTTTAAAGATAGCTCACCCAAAAATGGAAACTGTGTCATCGTTTACTCACCCTGTGTAATTCAAAACCCTCCTGACACAAATTCTCAAGACTGTGCTGCTCTCGTTTCTCCATTCAAGAGACCTTAGTCAGGTTAGACGCCATGTCGAATTTTATGTGGATGAAAACGAGGCTTTGAGGGACAGACTAAAAGTCTTTGCAATAGCGTGCACTGTATAAAGGTTCTAGATCCCTTAATTTTCAAAACAGTTTAATGGAGTGTTTGTCTACTTATTTATTTATTCCAGAAAGACATTTCACCAGCTGAACATCTGGCATGTTGTTAAACAAAAGTAGAATCCATTGAACACCCTGTATTTGCCAGCAGTCATATCACCCTGCACCCCAAGACTGGTTGCCCACTGAAGCTAAGCAGGGTTGAGCCTGGTCAGTACCTGGATGGGAGACCTCTTGGGACAACTAGGTTGCTGCTGGAAGAGGTGTTAGTGAGGCCAGCAGGGGGTGCTCACCCTGTGGTCTGTGTGGGTCCTAACGCCCCAGTGTAGTGACGGGGACACTATACTGACAAAAAGCACCATCTTTCGGATGAGACGTTAAACCGAGGTCCTGACTCTCTGTGGTCATTAAAAATCCCAGGATGTCCTGGCCAAATTCGCCCATTGGCCTCTGACCATCATGGCCTCCTAACAATCCCCATATCTACTGATTGGCTTCATCACTCTGTCTCCTCTCCACCAATAAGCTGGTGTGTGGTGGGCGTTCTGGCGCACTATGGCTGCCGTCGCATCATCCAGGTGGATGCTGCACACTGGTGGTGGATGAGGAGATACCCCCTTCTATGTAAAGCGCTTTGAGTGCCCAGAAAAGCGCTATATCAATGTAAGGAATTGCTATTATTAATTATTATTTCTGTCCCTCACAGCCTTGTTTTCATTCCTATCAAAAATTTCATATGACTCTACCCTGACTAAAGTCTATTATAATAAATAGAGAATGTAACTCTCAAGCTTTAGAAAGGATGCAAAGAGCTAAAAACGTAGCGCAAACAAGTTGTATGCCAGTGGCTTTCACCTTTTTGACTCCAAGACCTCCGTTGTAAACATGTTCAAAACCCTATAGCCCTCGTTTTGTTTTTAATTTAAAAAAAATTAATTATTTTAAACTATGGGCACTCCTAGTTTCTGTGAATAAAGGGTTCCCACTCTTTTAAACCAGTTTAGTCTTTCACACATTCGCTATTTATTTTAAAAGAATTAAGCATAGAGATTTTTATAATATATTTTTTTTACTCACAATTTTTATCCGGTAAAATAGAGCTTGGCATAATTGGTAAAAAGTATATTTATTAGAAAAATGCCCAAAATATAAATTTAAAAAAATCATGATTTTGAATTTTAGTTTATTTTAATAATTTGTTTTGCCATATTTTAAATTAATTTTAAATCACCTTGATCCCCTATAGTGGTTCTCAAACCTCTCCATGTAGTACCCCCAGCACTGCACGTTTTGTATGTCTCCCTATGTCTGACACACCCACTTCAGGTCATGCAGTCTCCACTAATGAGCTGATGAGTTGAATCAGGTGTGATAGATGAGGGAGACATGCAAAATGTGCAGGGCTGGGGGTACTCCAGGACAGGTTTGAGAACCACTGCCTTATTAAATTTTGCTGATGCCCCCTAGTGGGCCCCAGCCCCACTAGAGGGCAGCAGCATCAGAACTACAGTTGTATGCTACATTCCATATCTTCTGAAGCCACAATAAATTTCTGTATGAAATACTAATAATCTTCACCTGTGGTCTGTTAACTGCTGAAATCAAACTGGTATAGAGTTCAGAACTGGAGCAGTCTAGTCCAGATCCTTAAAAACATCCGACTCCTATGAACAATTCTTTTTACAAATCTGACATCACCACTTCTCTTGTAAACACACCAAGATGAACTAAGGTGGAAGTCAGTGCTTTCAGTGAATAAGACCACAGATTGTTTTCAGAAGAAGTCTTTTTTTTAAACTCCCAAATGCAGGGTAAATGACCATTTTTGTTTTTTTGTGAACATATCCTGTAATATTCTAAAGAAACATCAGTTTGGATATGTTTATGATTCTATTCCTATAATATTCGATTTAAGGTCTAGAAAACATGCTTATTCAGCTCTGCTCTCTCTATAGACTGCATACATAAAATATTTGCACCATTTTTATTTATTTATGTGTTTCTAGCATGTGAAGAAGAGAATAAGCACAACTATTAAACAATATTCCCTGATCATGTACAAAATTTAAAATGCCAAAATCACATCATGATGGTTACCTCAATACTTGGGTAATCACATCCATGATGGTTATTTCAATTCAAATGCACATGAGCCTCTAAGTGTTTTTTTTACCACTATTGGCAGCATAAATTGACAGCATACATTCCGTTTATATTGTGGAATCTGCAAGCAAATCTCTTTCTTTATTTCATAGATAGATAGATAGATAGATTTTAGAGCTTGAAATCAGTTCTTCTCAAGTTCGCACAGGTGTACTGGAGTAACCACAGGTGTAGAGAATCACATTAATTATCATCAGGATCCACTAACAATTACGCATGTCCAAATACTTTATATATATAATTATCAAATGAATGCAATTTTTTTTTACACACATTCATTCATTTAGTTATTTATTTAATCTATCTATCTTCCTATGGGCTTGAGAGTTTAATGGTCCTGTATCCGTCTGAATAGAGAGTGCTTAGCATCTGAACAAAGGAGGACTCGCGGTAAGTGACGGAATGAATCGACGCCAATGGGCGAGTTCCCCCGTTTCCACGCCACTGCATGCATTACAAGTGAGAGCAGTGGTCTGAAACAACAGGCTTGTGTCAAGTTAAGTGTCGCGTTAACATCAGCCACTCGACACCCTTTTATCTCGCCGCTCAATGGCCGATTAATGGCCGAAGCAGGAATCCAGAGAACCGCATTACAGTAATGCGATGTGTGAAACACTTTAATGAAGACATCGTTGTAAAGAGGGAGAGTGAATAAAAATATAGCCTCATTAAAATAAGCAAGGCGACGTTTTAAGCTGCGGTGACGAAAAGTGAATTTGTTTGACTGACAACGTGATTAAGAGAAAATGATACATTTACTCGCAAGGAAGCGTTTAATTTAGCCACAAAAAGGAACATTCGTGTAAGATGCGGGTTTCCCTTCCGACTCCAAACCCTATACCAGCAGAGGGAACGTCTGGAAGGGGCTTCATACGACTGACTCCTTCGATCTTCAGAGGCCCCGTCAACAGACTGTCAGCGGAATCTGACAAAAATACCAGCATAAGTTCGACTAAGTTTCGTTTACAGACAAGATCTATGGGGAAAGTGAAAATTAAAACAATCCTGACAAAATAGACCTACATGCATTTAAAGTTGTGAAAATGTTAGTCTATATTTAAAGTTGTATTCCTTCAAAACCAAACAAAAGATCAATTTAGGCACCAAATAATAAATGAGAAAATATAAGTTATAAATAAACGATATAATTACAAAATTATAACACCAACCTAATAATAATAATAAAGTATATTGTGTGCGTTTTAAGTTTCACTGCCGCTTGTAGATTCTCACGCTGTTCTCGTTGGCTATAGCCTATATATATATATATATATATATATATTCCAATGCACGAAAGCCGCGTGTGTCAGAAGAGCCTTATTCTCACTCTATAAATTCGCGTGGATTAGGAAACATGCATTTCGATGCCAATAAAAGCTACCACATCAAGTAAAATATCGCAGATCAAAAGGACCAAACTATGGGCATTTTTTTCAATAAATGAAAAGGACAGAAATCAGTGTGACTGGATCACGCCCCGTTGCACTGCCCTCCACAGCGATTGGTTCACGGGAAAGAGAGCAGGGTTAAACCCCAGAGCGGTTAAATACAGAGGCATTGAACAGAAGAGCGCACCACAATCCGCTTAGGAGTTTTCATGTCAGTGGGGGAACCAGTCTATTGACTAGACTATTAAAAAGAAGAAATAAAGGACTCTTGAGTTTTGCACTGAGAAAGCTCACCTGTCCGTCTCACTTTTAACCAAGTTTTGCTTTTGAATTTTGTGTAACCGGCTCTGCAGATTCTCAGCAGCATCTCAGGGTTGTGCGGAAAGCGTGATGAAGTGCAGGCGGCCGCAGAGGAGCGTGAGGGTGATGGGTGTCATTCACTGGGCTGTGATGCTGGGATTGATTCAGTCCGGCGCGCTCGGCGCGAGGAGATTCCGCGGAGGTCGAAACCCGCAGCAGCGACGACCGCTTCCCACCGCTCACTACCGGGACCGTGCCGAAACCACCGAGAGCTTCTCACTGGATTTCACAGCTGTTGAAGAAAACATGGACAATTTCATGACTCAGGTGAAGAACTTGGCGCAGTCCCTCTACCCGTGCTCGGCCCAGAAGCTCGACTACGACATGAAGTTACATTTCCTGGAGAATACATCAGTCACCTGCAACGACGGGACCCCTGCGGGGTAAGACAACAAGCCGGTTACAATCACAAACCTTAGGTAACCCAATGGGCTTCCAACAGTATTTGGGCATCATCCAGACGCGCTCAGATTCACACTCAGTTCTTATTGTTTCTAGCCTATAATGAAAATGGTAACTTGAGCCATTACTGTGGTGATCTATCAACTTAGCTCAATTATGATTCTACTAACAGTACTTATGGTATTTCAAACTATTATGGTTACCACTGTTTTGTTTTGTTGTTTTAACCATACACACTAAATAAATGCTGGGTTATTTCAACCCAACTTTGGGTCAAATTTGGACTAACCCAACTTTTGGGTTAAAAATGTAATGTAAAAATGTAACCCAACAGTTGGGTTAGTCCATATTTGACCCAAAGTTGGGTTGAAACAACCCAGGATTTTTTTTTAAACCATATAGTCACACTAACACACTAATGTTTTCATCTTTACACTATAGGCTAACTGGTTTTTGTGTCCATCCACCTTGTCACTATAATTTCTTAAAAGCTTGAAGTAGCCTATATATGTGGTAGCAAACCAGCATTAATTGATCATCCGTTTCTGACTTGCAAAATCCTGATGTTCCCAATTACGAATCTAAATTAATATGCTTGAGTAGTCTAGAGTTTTTTATGCTATATCAGTGCAGTATTATAATCAGTGCTGGTGTAAACTCTGACTCTGGGAACATGCTCACCATAGACGCTCTACAATGCACTGAAGCTGCAGTATTTTTTTGGCAGCGGCCTGCGTTCTTTCTCAGATCTGCAGTCAGTGCTTGAAGAGAAGGTCTCCTGTGTGTCGTGTGTGATATGCTGTTACACATGAATGGACTCCACTCATGGATTCCACAGGTTCTCTGGAACTCAATCATTCCTAGATACAACAGAAAAGCATTTGGGATAAGGCTTATACTAATTTTTCTGCATGTATAACTTCAGGTTACAAGTTCAGGTTACGTTTCTGAGGTCTAGCAGACCTGTAGCCCAAGCTTTATAGCTGTAATGTAATGAAGCATAAATCGTTAGTATGTAAGTAGTGGTGAGGTGGGTAACAGTGAGAAATGTACACCATATGCCAAAAATGTGGTCACCAGTGGCATAAACGGGATGCATATTAAAGCTGTCTTTAATTATGGCAGACTGATGCCCCTCAAAGTAACAAACTGAACCACAACTGTAACTTTTCTCACACAATAGCTGAACGCCCCCTTGTGGATAGTGTGAACATTGCAGAAAAAAAAATAGAAAATTTCTTCTACTTAAAGGGGTCATATGATGTTGCTAAAAAGAACATTATTTTGTGTATTTGGTGTAATGAAATGTGTTTATGCGGTTTAAGGTTCAAAAAACGCAATTAGAATAATAAAAAGTGTATTTTGTTAACAGAATACATGATGACAATAACCTCTTATTTCTTGAGAAACTTTATCATTCAGAACTCATTTAATACTGGATTGATAAAATGCCAGTGTTTTGCATATACGATCTGTAAGTATAGGTTTACTGACAGTCTGCTTTATTGCAGGTACTACCTGAAAGAGTCCAAAGGAAGCAGATACAGAAAAGCATTTGGGATAAGGCTTATACTAATTTTTCTGCATGTATAACTTGTTCAGGTTACGTTTCTGAGGTCTAGCAGACCTGTAGCCCAAGCTTTATAGCTGTAATGTAATTAAGCATAAATCGTTAGTGTGTAAGTAGTGGTGAGGTGGGTAACAGTGAGAAATGTACACCATATGCCAAAAATGTGGTCACCAGTGGCATAAA